AGGGCCTTAAGTATGTACCATGGTGGATTTACACAAGACTTCCTTCAGAACTTCTGAGGAAGTGTGAGTTGGGGGTGCTTTGGGCTGGCCAGGCTGGAATAATCTCCAAGAACGAGGCCTGGGCAAGAGACATGGTATGGTTCTGTGGAGCCAGCTGGTGGTGGAGGAGTCTGGTCAGTCCTTGTTGCAGAGATTGGACTGGCAGCAGGCGATGGATACATGAGGACCCAAGCCCAAGCTGGGGACATCAGGGCAGCCATTGTAGCACATCTTCGTCACCAGAGGCAGGTCTGTAAAGCTGATGGGAGACCCTAAGGGGTAAGAAAGAGACCATGGTGCTTCCTGAAGCCCTATGCTGCCCAAACCTCTGTTTCACCAACAATTGTCACCCCCCTCCAAGCACTGAGAGACCCTACCCCATCCCTGACCCAGGCAGAGGCTGCCAGACATCTACCTACTCTGTTCTTGATCTGATGGGCATCACACAGAGCCCTGGGCTCTGCCTGCCCAGTGAGCCAGCTCTCTGTGCAAGAAGGGTGTGTCCAGCCCACCCCTCCCACCACACTCACGGGTGGCAATGATGACACAGTGGGTGGAGCCCCCTGGGCAGCTGGACTGGTGGGAACATCCTCCAAAGCCCTTGCACAGGTGGCACCGCAGGCCCTGTGTTACAGCTACGGGCAGACAGAGACAGAGGCAGTGGGTGAGCAACTCCTGCAGAGGATGGCACCCACTCTCGTACCCAGCACCCCGCTTCCATTCTTGGGCCATAGCTCTGCAGCCCAGCTTCCTTTATGGTGCAAGGCCCCTCGAAACCTTGGATGAAGGGATAACTAAGACCCTGCTGCTCAGCCTGCCACTGTGTGAGATACAAGTGATCACACTGGAGCCAGCTGCTTTGTGTTCCTCTGCCCAGAACACTAAGGGCTATGTGGAGCGGAGGTGAGACCTCCTAGAGAGGGGGCGCGCTGGTTCAGGCTCCTGAAGTCCAGGGGGTGGGGAGGGCTGAGAGACCAGAGACTTTACCCATTCCCCTCTTTACCTTCAGGGACCTGAGAAGGATCATTTATACCCCTGGGGTTTCTGTTCTATGGATTGAGATAATAGGTCCTCTATCCAGTTAGCAAGGAAACCAGGGCAAGGCTAGGCAGAAGGAAGTGGGAGCCCACTGAATTCTGTTTGCCACTTCTTGGCAAATACTACATCACAGGTCTTGCCTCCAGCCCAGCGGCTTGCAGTCATCAGGCAAGTGGACTACCCTGCCCTCCTAGCTTTCTCTGGATTCCCCCCTGCCTCTTCCTGCCCCCCCTCCTTAAGCTCCCTTCCTTGGGTTACACGGTCTCTAACTGCATGCCCAGTGCTGGGGACTCTCCAGTACCAATCCTGCTGCTGCACACTGGCTCTGAATATGTTCTGACACTGAGTCAGGTTGCTCTTAGGCCCTGTGCCATCTTACTTGGGCTACTGAGTAGGATCTGAGCTAGGAGGCTGGCTCCTCCCTGGGGCTCTGACTACAGCTATACCTCTACCAGATCTCACCTGTAAGTGTGCTGGTCAGTTCCGGCCAGTCTCAAAGGCCTCCGTCCTATGCACTACGGAGCAGGTGACAGACAGGAAGTCCCTACTACAGCAAGGTCCCTACTACTTGCCTGGACTGTTTACCAGCCCTACCAGGCAGCCCTACCTGCAACCCTGCCAGCAACACAAAAGCAACAGAAGCCCCCAAAAGTCAGTAGCTGTCCCACGGATGTTAAAGACACTAAACAGACTAAATATGGATTCCCGGACAGGGAAGGGCATAGACAGCAGCTGAATGAAAGGCATGTGCTTGAGGCACCAAAAGGGGCTGGCAAGGTGCTGGGGGGAACTGGACTGGACCGATTCTCATTCCTCTTCTCCATCCTCCTACCTCTGCCCAGGTTCATCTTTCCATCATCCATGTAGCATGAGCAAGCCCCAGCCCATAGGCCATTTCCACCTAGGGAGCCTTTCATCTCTGAGGCAGAGGTCCTCCTGGGATGCAGCCACCACGGCTGGCCTTGTTATGTTCATGCTTAAGGCTATCTCCCCACTCCCATTCACTAGGATTCTGGAGATGAATGGGGATCCCTTCCCACTCCCCAATGCTCCCCCAGTCACCCAATATATGCACCCCACCGCACTGATGAGGCCCAGGAGATGTTTAGAGAATAAATGAATGAATCTCTAGGAGTTGGGGCAAGAGCTGGGTCATTAAGAGAAAAAATAACTGTCCCTCTTGGGGATTTTGTGTTGTCATCAAGGAAGCGAGGAGGGAAGTTGGCTCTGGGTACAATGGTAGGGTCATAGGGACAGACTCCAGGTCAACATTTGCTTAGACAGAGAGGGTTTTGGAGAAGAGGGTAGGAGGGGTAATGGGATGAGCCTTGGGATGACAGGCTCCATGAGGTCTGGTCCCCCTGCGATGTTGCCAGGGACAGCTGACTCCCTCTGACCTTATTTTCTCACTCTTGGGTCAGCCTACAATGCAATCCACCATTCCCAGGCCACTCTGAGCCCCAGGGGGAGATGGGTGGCAGAGCAGGCACCCAGGAATGATGTAGGACATGGAGCACGCTGAGAAAGGCTCATGGAGCCCAATTCCCTCCAACCGCTAACTGGCCAGGCTTGAGGCTTTTGTCTTCAGGGGCAGGTATGATTTCCATGGAGGAAGGGGTTGGGAGGCCCCAGTTTGGAGAGTTGTCTCAGGCTCAAAGATGCTCATGAGATACTAGGGTGTTGGATAAGACAGGAGGGCAGCTGGCCCAAAGCTGAGCACTCCCCTCTGAAACCTTAGCCCTGAGAGTGACAAAAGGTCTCTAAACTTTGAGCTCAGGGCCATAAAAGTGGAGCTGTTCTGTCCTAAAGGCTCCGGGCAGCAGTTAGGGGGTGAATAGTTCAGGCTTTCTCAGTTCTAAGGGTCCCCATGAGGCCCAACCCAAGAAATGTGAACCAGAGCCAGAGACACACAGACCTCCAATCCCACATCTCAGCTGGACCACAGGCCCTAGGGCATTCCCACCCATGATGAAAACCAAGGTTTTGTTAGGTGAGGCATCTGGGAGCTGGGCTATCTGAGTTTGGAGCATAGGTTGCTGTTGAGCCACAGGGGGAACAGTTTCTTTGCTCAGGCATTGACTGGGGCTGGATATAGGAACAAATTAGGCTCCACTAAATGATGTCAAGGCCAGGCATAGGCGGTGATAAATGGGGGTATCCCTGGGAGGCCATCAGCAGGCTCCGGGGCCAAAACTCCTGTGACTGAAGCAGATGAAACTAGCTAGCCTGGAGGGTATAGAAGTCTGAGGGGACTCAAGTCAAGTGGATGAAATCGCCCTAGGAAGGTAGAACAGATAGAATCTAAGCAAGGAGGTTGGGGGGGGGGTAACAGGAGAGAGTAGCTGTAGAAAATGGGCTAGCTGGGGCTCTAGAGCTGGAGGAGGGCAAAGTAGCAGAGCTGTGCCGTGCTTGTGTGTGGCAAGAGTGTTGCTATGGAGTTGGAGATGTCTAAGGGAGGGTTTCAAGCTGAGAAGTAAGCATGAGGACAGTACTGAGTGTTGGGAAGAGGGTTTAGGAATCTACGAAGGCCAGCATCAGAGGACAGAAGCTGGGCAAGGAGAGTTTAGTGCCCAGGATGAGGGGAAGAACCAGGAAAGGGGTACCCCCAAGGGTCAGTGGTGGCCCAGGCTGAAAGGGCAGTGATGAGTAAGGGAAGGAGGAGAGTCAGCAGCACCTTTTACTCACCTAGCTCCACGCTCAAGACCACGGCCAGAAGGAACCAGAAGGAAAGCCTCATGTTCTCGGCACTAAGGATGAGGCTTACTCCCTGGCCACCCCTTATACCTGCGTGTGGCTCCCACTCCACCCTTGCCTCCCATTGCCGCTGGCTCCCAGCCCTGAGTCATTTGCAACCCAGCTCAGTTGGGAGCTGGCAGAGCTTGCTGCTGTGTGGCCTTGGGGAGCCTGGTACAATTTCACAAGCCTTCTTCCCTCCTCCACGGAATAAGGATGTCCTAATCATCAGGCCTAAGGCTCTCAAGAGAAGCCTCGTGCCGGCTGAATCTCAGTGTGGGTCCACCTCACCCAGCAGCTGCACGGAGGGCAGTGTGAATGGAGCTTGGACCAGGTGAAACCAGAATGTCTTCCTCGGCAGCTCACTCTGGATGGAGTATGGTGGCCAGGCTTTTGAGAGACCATTTTCCTCATCTGCCAAATCTGGCTTCAGTCCTGGCCTGGCCCTCCCAGGACTAGGAGAGCCAGGAGAAGCATGGCTGTGCACGTGGTCCTATGTACAAAGGGTGAGTGTTACCTATCAAGAGACTGTACTGGCATAGTACCAAAAAAACTGAGTCCTGCTGGTAGTATTTGCTTGGTAGCAGCAGGAGGAGGAAGCAAAGCCTTGGTGTTAAAAAGTTTCCAGGTTGGGGTAAGAGACAAAAGTGACATATTTCAGGGCAAGGGTCCTTTTGCCAATAGACCAGGGTACAGGCCTAAGACCAGGTGGGAGATTCCATGTGTCTACTCTGGACGTCCAGGTGACTTCGATTTAGCTCCATGCTTTATGGAGTCCCCAAGTCTGGGAGTTGGGAAGGAAAAGGGATCAGAGATCCTGAGAGAGGGTCTGCTAGAGTCAGACTATCTTCCCGAGAATTAAATAGCAAGAAATTGGGATTGGATCAGAAAGCCAGAAGGCAGAAGTATCAGGTAGGGGCTTGGGGTCCTGTCTCTTCCATCCAGTTCCTCAGCCTACCCTCAGGCTTGTTGGTCCATTGATGGGAACTGATATATATGCCTCTTTCCACAGTATGGAGGCGAGTTTCAGCAAGCCCAGGGTACCCTGCTAATACCTCTCTTGCCTTGGCTGGCTTGGACGTCATGTCAGGAGCCAGGGACCTTCAGGGTCAGGAGCGCCCGCCAAGACAATCTGGGTGGGTGAGGTCCAAACTTAAACAGAAAATAATGTCAGGAGGGAAAGATAGAAACATGTCCTTCGTTTGTTTATTCATTCAGTGGTGGTGGACATCGGCATTGACAGGACCACTCTGAATATAGGTGCAGGGGACTGGCTGGGGGAAAGGAAGCAGTGGCATAAAAGTGGATTTCATGTTTTTTGCTGGGTGAGGGCTTAGGGTTGGCAGAGACACGATCAAGGGAAGTGCCAGGTGTCATGTATCCCATGCATTTTTGGGGGCCTCCTCTGTGCCGACCCAAGGCTTGGCACTGGCTTCAAAGAGCCAGCCGAGCGGGTACTGTCATCGTCATTTCACCAATGAGATGGCTGGAACATGAGCCTGTGCTTGAGGAGCCTAGGGCACGCAGTGCTGCGGGATTGCCACGGTGCTTGCCAGGAAGTAGCCAAGACCGAGGCGAGGGGCCACCCTACCCCTGGAAATCTTTCTAGAGTTTCAGAATGGGAACCCCAATGCTTGCCACAGAAGACGAAGACACAGGTGCCCTGCTCCCCAGCCCCCACTTCTCCTTATATGCTTTTGGGGAGAGCCAATCACAGAGACAGTGGCAGAGCACGACTCCCACCTGACGGCTTCTCTCTAGCGGGCCAGACCGGACACCTCACTCCGCTCTGAAGTGTGTTTTGGCTTCACGTGCTGTCCTGGTTTCACCAAATCACACTCCATGGTATCGTTGTCCCATCAAGCAGCCTCTCTCCGGTGACTTCCAAGATCCTCCCAGATTGCAACCTACCAACCTACCGACAACCACTGCCAGCCGCTCTGGACGCCATGCCTACTGTGTATCCCCGTGTGAAAACACCCGCTGCCTTGAGCCCTAGTCCCTGACAAAGGCAGGGTCAGCTCGTGATGGCTGACGTTACTCTGCTCTTCTTTTTCCCTCTCCATCCCATGCTCCCTCACTCTCTGTCTCCACACACAGGGCTGGCCTCCCCTGGCCTACCCCTCAGCTCCTCAAACCTTCAGTTCTTGTTTTTCCTTCTAAGGTTTCCAATTCACACGCCCTTACAGCACTACATTCTGAAATTCTCTGGTTTGTGAAACTGCTGTCATCCCGAGTGTGAATAGCCTCAGAGAACCCCCGGCTGTTGGAACAGCATCCATAGTAGAATGAGTTGGTCCTGGAAAGATGAGGAGGCCAAATGGCCCAGGAAAACTAAGTGCCTCACTCCTCTGTGCCTCAGTTTCTTTACCTGTCAAAGGGCGCAATAGTGACCACCCCCATACACTTTGCAGAACTCCTGTGGAGTGTGCATGGCCACCTGCAGCGGACTGGACAGATGTTCATCACAGCACCCCAGATGGGATTCAGGACAGGCCCATCTGGCACTGTTCCCCTCATCTGCACCTCTCACTGGCAGGCTTGGTCCTGTACTAATTGAGCACCTTCTGGGGCTCTGTGCTAAGCCCCAAGGGCAGGTTAGCTAGGCACAGTGCTCCCTGGAGGGCTGGGTGGCAGTGTGGGGCCTTGTCTGGTTGGTGTCATGAGAGAGAGACACTGCCCCAATGCTGCAGCATTCCCACCTCTCCCTCTCCCCTGTGCCTTGTGGTGGGAGGGAGGACCTGGTCTCGGGCTCCTCCCATTTTTGGCCCAGGATGCCACTTGACTGGGAACAATGGACTTGCACAAGCAGGGTAACAGGATAATGTTTCCCAGGCCTCACCCACTGAGTCAGGGGCCTGCCTCTGACTCTCTTTGCCAGTGCCCTGTGGCTTCCATAGGTCAGTCTCAATGCTGGCTGCTTGCTCGTGGCGGGGGGGGGGGGGGGTTCTATGCAAGCTCAGGTCGGGGCAGCATTGGCTTCCTCTCAGCATCCTGCGTTTTGGGCTCGGTAGCCACTATGTGCACGTATGCACTTGTGTTCCTCCCTACCACTTCCTGGCTTCCCATGAGGCTCCTCTTCCCTGTAGACAATCAAATGTCTTTTCATCCCCAGGCCATTTCCCACTCAATTCACCTTTGTAATAGGCTGCACAGTTCCTTATTACAGTTCCTATTCCTGAGGGTCTGGGAAAGTCCATCAGCAGGATCCTCCCCCACCTCCCCAATCCTCCGGCGGCATGTCCTCAGAGGAAGAAACTGAGGCAGAAAACCAATGAGTTCCAGCAGCAGACAGAGCTCAGGTCTGCCTGAGAACAGGAGGGAAGGTCCTAAAAGACGGGCCTCTGTGTCCTGAGATCCTACAGCCCGGGGTGGGGGTGGGACCTGAGAAAAAGCACTCAAGATGTGGTGACCACAGACATGGCCAGCATCCTGACCCCTGGGCTGGGCCAGCTTTAGAAGTTTCCCCAGTGGCACATGAGTTGGGGTACTAGTAAGAGTGAAGGGTAAGGCTCCCTGGGCCAACTAAACAGTATGAAAGGTTGATTGGTGTCTCCTGGAGACACCAATTGGGCTGGGTTCTCTGGAGTCTTGACTGCCAGCAGTCTTCAGCCACAAATGACCTGGGACTTGGGCTGGCTCCCTGTACATTTGCCTCCCCATAATTTACCAAGAGACTGAAGGACCACAGGAGCTGCCTGCAGGACCTGGGGAACTGGCTGAAGTCTGCTTCCCTGTCTTAGTCACCCCACCAGCCTGCTGTGACCTGCCTCTACCCCCTTCCCGCCATGCCCAGAATAGCTCTGTCCAGTGTACAGGCCAGACAAAATATAGCACGGGCCACCTGCTCTCATGTCCCTGCCAGCCTCAAGGGGATATAGTGGGGGTCAAGGGGGCCCGCTGATCTGCAGCTGGAGGGATCTCAGTGGACTATGGAAATGAAGCCATTGCTAGCTACCCTTGGCCAAGGGCTGTCCTGACGCCAGGTCTGGCAGAGTTCCTGAGATAGGTGGAAATGGCAAAAGGCTTCCTCACATGGCTTCCATCTCACACTTGCCCTGGGCAGCAGCTCGACTTAGTAGGAGACAGCCCTGCTGAGCCTGTCTATGCTTCTAGCCAGTTCGTGATCCCCTCCAGCAGAGCTATCCTCTGGTGGGTAGACCGAGGCAGGGTCCTGATGCTATGAAGGTGGAGTTTGGCCACCAGTTCCATCAAATCAGTGTACCTTGACCGAAAGATGACCCCCCCACCCCCATCAACAGCACTCTCCCAGATGCCCCTGATCCTGGGTAGAGGAGGGGACCAGCCTGCCCCACCCACAGCCAGGCACATTACAGAGGTTTAGATCCACATATCAGCCTTCTGAAAATGGAAAAGGTATGACCTTGGAGTGAGGTATCTGGATGCCATCAGTCCTTTTGTAGACAGCCATGGGACCTCTTTGTGGCTGAGGAGTCTCAGAGGGAAGGGGGTTGGGTGGAGTGAATGGGTGAGAGGGTGCAACTGAGTCTTTGAAGAGCTTTGTGTCTGAGTGGATCTGCCCGGGGGGACAGAACTTTACAGCAAGCTCCAGAAGGTGGACAGGAGTGCCGGGACCAGGGCCAAGGTCACTGGGGTAGCAAAGCCAGCCCCATTGCAGAGGTAGTACTGGCAACAGGAGGTGGCAGATGCATGCTTGGAGTAGCCATCATACACGGTCTCAAAGCAGCTGGGTACACACGACTTCCTCACCTTCATCCGGTATGGCGTGAAGTCTGCAGGGGACAGGACACAAGACGGTTACAGTGAGAGGATCAGGACCTTGGATGGCTCAATCTCAGCTTGCAGGTCCGCCAGGGCAGGTGGGAGCCTCCCTCCCTCTCCCTGTGCTCCAGGATAGCAGACTCACAAGTACGGGTGGTCATACAGTAGGTGGCCATGTCTGGGCAGCGCATGGGTTTGAAGCAGTTGTCTCCATTGTAGGCACACACGTGGCACTCCAGAGCCTGGGCTGTGGTCCAGGATGTGGGGGTCAGAGGACAGGAAGAAATCCTTTTCCTGACAGTCAGACCCCAGCTGTCTCCAGCCAACCACCCATTCCCACCGGGCACCAGATCAGGGCAGCCAGAAGGCAGCAGAACTCTGGCCAGCTTGCCCTCTTTCCACCTGCCTGTCCCAGGGTCAGGTTCCAAACGGGTCCCTCTAGCCTCTGTCCACCTTACCCACGGGCAGGCCCATCAGAGCCACCAGGAACACTGTGAGCAGGGGTGTCATGATGGAGATGTGAGGATAGCGTGGGAGTGAACAGGTGGACAGCAGCTGGTCCTGGATCCAACTCAGGCTTGGGAAGATGCAGCGCCCAGAAGCCCTGCCTGAGCTCTTGGCCTCCTAGTGGTAAAGCAATCCTGCACAGACAATGACAGAGACTTGTGATCACAGCTGGGCTGGGGCAGGCCCAAGAGCCTTCCAGCTCAGTGGGTGTCATTGATTTCCAGTTACCTGGAGATGGTGTGGGTGGAGGGAGCTAAAGAAGGGAAGGAACCGGCAATATCAAAGAAAATCGAGAGGTCCAGGGGTTCTTAAATGCCACATGCAAAGACCCAGGGTTTTTTTGTTTTTGTTTTTATTGGTAGGGACCTTATGAAAACTTGGCACACAGGCTCTTTCTGGCAGAGCCCAGAATTCAGGAGATTCTCCAGAATAAGATTGGAACCCTGGTTTGGTCTCTTCTTAGGACAGGGGTCCCTCTCACATTTGCTCCCCCTGCGTGAAGTCCCCTCCCACCCCCACCTCGCAGGAAAGTGTAGACTCCGCTGTGTGAGTCCTTCACCACAGCAGAAGGGGCCGTGATGGTGCTCAGCTCCTACCTAAAGGCTCTTCGGATGCATGCCAGATGACGAAGCTTGCCCAAGCCAGAGCTCCACAGACTGGGTCTGGTGTTTGGGACTGTTGCGGGGACGTGGACCAATATTCTCCTCCCTGCCGACAGACTCGAGCCGGCTCCTGCTGGAAAGTACCAAAATACACTCCCGGAAGAAAACCCATCCTTCATGACCCATTTCCCAGGTGCCAGCCTAGGATGCTTAGGTTCTGAATCAGACCAGGCCTGTGGTCCGGGCACCTCCTGCTCCCTCTCGGGGAGCTCCGCCCCAAACACTGCAGTCCTTCTTAGGGAGGACTCCCCGGGCCGGCTGGGTGCGGGGTGACCTCGCCCTTGCCCTTCACCATCACGAGCCCTGTCTCCTTAGAAACTTACCCGTGGCCGCTCCCAGGTCCCTCTCGCCTTCTGGCTGTGCGTCCGTGCACACTTCGCGCAGCGTTTGTACCGCATCCCAAGCCGGGTAGGCACCGCGGCGACAACCGACCCGCAGTTCCAGCTCACACCGCTGGCCCCGCCCCGCCCCGCCCCCAGGACACACGCTCCGCCCCCGAGGCTGCCTTCCTCAGGCTCAGTGGCCAGGGTAAGCTCTCTAATTATGGCTCTAGTGAGCAAAGCCTGGGCATCAGACTGTACCCACTCATATGCAGATTCACAGTGACACTGTGGCGGTCCTGAAGCGAGTGTGCACCTCCTGGACACTCTCCTCAGGTTTTATCGAAGCTTTCCTCACTCCCCTACTGCCCTGCTCCCACAGACCAAACTGTTCTGGGTGGGCATGCTGACTCTGGGAAGAGGCACCACCTGGACAGGTACCTCACTGCACCTCTGTCTTACGTGGGATCCACTAGCAACGCTTGCGAGCAAGCCTTAGAGGAGTCCCAGGCCTCACAGGCAGTTCTCACCACCAGAAGTCCACTGCTAAATTACTTTATGTAGCTAAAATCTTTATTATTATTATTATTATTATTATTATTATTATTATTATTATTCTGCTTCAAAAGCAACCAAAATTTAACAAGCTTTCACAAACCCTACTTTTTTGTGTGAGAGGAAGAAAATAAAGAAAACCTGCAGCGACACTGCATATGTCACTCTTCCAGCAAATGTACATACCAGGAGCCTCAGAACTGAGCCAAACGCCCCAGTGGTGTATGCATTTAATCCCAGAGGCAGAGGCAGAGGCAGGTGGATCTCTATGAGTTAGAGAGGCCAGCCTGGTCCATAAAGGAAGTTCCAGGACGCCCAAGCCTATTCACACAGAGAAACCCTGCCTAGAAAAAAAAGCAAAGAAAAAGAAATGAAACAAACAAACAATCAATACACTCTAGTCCCCAAGAAAACAGATGTTTCCCCAAACCTTGGTCGGTAAAGACCATACGGCAGTGTGAATGGGGATGGCCCCCATAGTCTCGTATGTTTGAATATCTGGGCCCCATTGGTGGAAATGTTTGGGGAGGACTAGAAGGTGTGCTTGTTGGAGGAAGTATGGCACTGCAGGTGGACTTTGAGGTTTTCAAAGACTCACATCATTCTCAGTTGGCTGTCTCGGTCTCCTGCTTGGGGACCAAGGCTGAGCTATCAGCTGTTTAACCTGCCTTTGCTCCCCCCACACACACAATGGACTTTAACCTTCTGAAACGGTAAGCCAAATTCAATACTTTCTTTTATGAGTTGCCTTGGTCATAGTGTTTTGTCACAGAAATAAAAAAAAGTAACTAAGGCAGGCCATATTCTGAGCCACCAAATAAATCTTATTGTATATGGCAAGGATGAACATCCAACAGTGCTTTCCCTGGACAGCAACAGACTTATTAGAAATCCGCAGCAGCGGGGTCGGCTAGAAGACTCAGGGGGTAGCACCTCTTGCTATTCAAGCCTGACACCTGAGTTTGATCCCTGGGACCCACCGTAGAAGGACAAAATCAATTCCTGAAAGTTGTTCTCGGATTCCTCTGCTGCCCCCCCCCAAAAAATAATAGTAATATCATCATCATCATCATCATCATCATCATCATCATCATCAACCACAACAACAAAGGTTTAAAAATTATCAGCAAAAAGTTTACAAATGTGTAGAAGCTGAGTAACAACACATTTCTAAATAACCTATGGGGCAAAGGTGACGTCAGGCAGGAAGTTAGAACATATTCCTGGCAGATGAGGTAGACATGGCCCACCAAAGCCACTGATGCGGGGGGAGGAGATGCCATAGACGTGCTGTTTTAGGGGGAAAAAGAGGTTCCCGATTAGGACCTGAATTTCCACCTTCAGAAACTAGACCAGGAAGAAGAAATTAAATCTGAAGGAGGCACTATATAGCAAAACATGGGCAAAGCTGGAGAGACAGCTCAGTGAGGAAAGTACTCATTTCGCAAACGTGAGGACCCGGGTTCGGATCCCCAGCATGATGGAGAAGCCGGGCTGACCACTGTAGATACAGTGTCCACGCACTATTAGAAAAGAGGGAGCTGTCTGAAGGAATGTGACTCTGAAGCGATGTTAGGGGACACCCAAACTTCTGTATCTGGTAAATAAATACATAAAAGCTGGGCTAGGTGGTGTCTGCCTGAAACCACGGTGCTGGGAAGGTGAAGGCTGGAGGATCACTGGGGCTCATACTGTCTAGCCAGTCAGTGAGCTCTCCTTTTCAGTGAGACACCTTGTGTCCAAAAGAAAAAAATATAGAGAGAGTGAGAGGAGAAGAGATTCAACATCAGCCTCTGGTCTAAACATACACATGCATGCAAACACACATGTACACACACATGCATACAAACACACACATCTACATAACACATACACACCTATAGCATACATACTAAAAGAAAAAAGGGAAGAAATCAGTGAAATATAAAAATCAAAACGGTGAGAGAACTGATCAGTTCAAAGGTGAGTTCTATGAGAATGCCCCAAAGGGCACCATACAAGTCCCTTTTTGTCCATGGCTGGACCAGAGAAAGGGTTTGGCAGAAGACAGTTTCAGGTGACTGACTAGAGGAGTGGGCAATGGGCATCCTTTATGTCCTCTGTAAGTAATGGGCTATTAGGCTGAGCTGCCGATGAGGCTATAGGTGACACTCTTTGGGAGGGTGAGGACAAGAAATGTTCTGGGTGGGCTGGCCCTCTTAGAAGACATGATAAGTTGGGTTTTGTTGTTGTTGTTTGTGTGGGGGTTTTTTTGTTTTGTTTTGTTTTGTTTTGTTTTTAAAAGACCTTCACAAGCATTCTTAGGCTTGGCCTGATGTGGGAGTCACTTCCCTGTTCCCAGGCTGTTTCCACACTTGGAAATAGATAGGGCTTCAGCTCGGGCTCTCCTACTCTCTTCTCTGCCTGACTCCCACGTGCAGGTGGCCTTCTATGCTCGGGATACTTCGGGGCACCTGCAGAGAGGAGGCAGGAAGTGGTGCAGACGGGATGTGGCTAGTCTGGACAGAGGATTCCTTCCAGACAGGTGTCTTCTGGTGCCTGACTCTAGCGGCCCCTAGGGGGCGCGCCGGCACCAGGTTTGGCCTTCAGCTCCAGGAATGGTGGGGAGTGGGGGGTGAGGGGTGGGGGAGTGAGGAGTGGGGGATGGGGGCATGAGGAGTGGGGGTGTGGGAGAGGACATGGGGAACAGCAGCTACAGAGCAGCCAAGGAAGAATATCATCCGATGCTCATGGGAAGCTTTCTAATTTCTGGGGTTGGGACACATTTTTCCTTGCCTTCCCCTCTCTCTCTTGCTCATGGTGAATGAATGTGTCTGGTAGACAGGGTTGTGACTCTACAGCAGACCAGCCTGCTACAGGCAATGGTAACTGGGTGTGGAAGTCTGTGTAGAAAACAAACCAAAACAAACCTTGCTCCAAGTGAGGACCTGGAGGGACCCAGAAAAAAAGACTCATGGTGGAGATGATCAAGTGGCTCCTTACGGAGATGTTGAGGCTCCGCTGCTAAGGGAGCCTGAATCACACTTCACCTCTCACAAGCCTCTTTTGAAAGCAGGGTGGTAAGTGTGCCTTAAGGTTCAGGGTGTAGGTGCATAAGGGGAGGAGGGACCCTCATTATCCAGCTGTAGTCTGCAAAGGGCGGGGTTGACCACACAGGCCTGCCAGGGTGCTAATCCTTTGTCTGCCTCTGTGGGCTTGCGGGATAGTGGCTGCTGTGGAATGGGCCCACCTGCTTGCCAGCAAGAACTTAATGTTTGGGTATCTGCTGACTACCTCTCCCTCGTTCAACCCCACAGCCTCACCCCACTCAGGAAACTGCCCCAAGCCCAGTAGCACACAGGGGCATAGGCGTCGGCAGGAACCCATTGCATGGGAAAGCAGGGGGTGAGCCTAGATACAGGGTCCCCAGGATGTACCCTGCTTTCACCCCTTCTAGCCTGCCTATCATCAGCCTGTACTGAGTCAGACCTCCCACTCCAACATACACTTCTGGATGAGTCCCTAAGGAATGACTGAGGCCGTCCTGGTAGCTGGACTCACCTTGGACCTTGGCGATGTGCAGTGCCCTCGTAACTCTAAGACTCTCAGGCCTCTTTACAGCCTCAGGGGACCAGAATCTCAGGGTTGAGGCCTGGGAGAAGAGTCCTTTGTGCCCATGTGAGACTTGGAGAGAGTCTGCCCCTTCCGGGAAGGAAATGAGTTTTATGCCAAGTACCGAGTGCTGCTGCATGCTGCCAAGGCTTGTCCAGGGTACCCACTCACCACTCCACGCAGCCACAGTATTTTTAGATCATTTATTTCCATGTGGAGATTCAAGTAGAAAAGCAAATGGAATAAGTACATCAGAGGAGATGGATCATGTCTGTCCCCTGTGCTGGGCGGCAGGCCACACCTCCCTGTCCTGGGGCAGGCACTATGCTATGTAAGCCAATGGCTCTTGGTGCCCACCAGGACCCAGCCCCAGCCTTTAAGGATAGCCCCCCAGCCTTAGCCTCCATCATGACCAAGGATGGGCCGTGGGAACCCTGGGAACCAGGACTGAAGCGGTGCGTTATATGTTGAGAACCATAAGAGCGAGGAGGCTCAGGCTCACTGCCAGGCCCAGGGTGGCACTGCTGAGCAGGGCAGGTACAGGCGCAGCACTGTACAGCATCTCATTGCACAGGTCACCCTGGCAGCAGTGTGTGACCCCGGAACCACTGCTGACTTGGCCGTGCTGGCTGTAGTTGGCGGTGCATGAGTCTGCACATTCTTTCTTCACCAGGTTCCCACTCAGAGGCTCCACTGCACACAGGAGGAGAAAGGGCATCAGGCCTGGCTTACCATGCACCCCGGCTCCCACAGAACATCCTCCACTCTTAACCACCATCGACACCATGACTGGCCCATCCCCAGTATTATGCTTAAGGCTGGTCTCTCGGCTCTGAGGGAACTTGGACCGCGCCACTCACCTGTGGTGACAGTTTTGCAATATTGGGAGCTGGCCGGACAGGTCTGAGGTTGCTTACAGTTCATAGTGTTGGTGCACACGTGACATCGGAGTGCCCAGGCTGGAGGACGAGAAGGTAGTGAGTCAGTCAAGTAAAGGTCTTTGCCATGACTAAGCCTTCTGTTACTTGTCACCCAACTCCTGCCCTAGACCCCACAAAGCTCAGAGGGTGTCTGGATGTCCCTTGGAGCCCTAGAGCAGAGGGAGTTCAGAGTAGAAAGGCTCTCAGGATGTTCTTGGTCTTTGTTAAAGACACAGGTGTCCCCATCCCAAAGGTCTGAGTTCCTGAAGAACCTGGAGGAAGATGGGCTACCCACATGCTGTCCAGGACAGATGTGAGGTGAGGATGATAGTAGGGGAGCCTCTCAAGAAAGTTCCATCTCTCCTCCATCTCAAAGCACCCCAGTTCTAAGAGTTAGTGCTAAAATTCCCTGGTTGTGAAATACTGTCTTTTTATGATTCCAGTGAGTTAAGATGTTAAACTCATTTTGTTTTAAATTTCAAGAGGCAAGCATCCCTCAACATCCGTGCTCTCTGAGCCTTAAATTCCAGCTTCTAGCATTTGATGACCTCCTTTCAGGCCCAGCTGGCCTGGGGCTGAGTGTCCAGTATCTAGACAAAGCTACCCACCCCTTCCAGATCCCCGGGTGCAGCCTCTTACCTGTGCTAATGACCACAGTCAAGGTAAGGAGGAGAAGCAGAGCTGACTTCATGCTAAGAATTGTCTGGAAGCGGTGGGGGGTCCCTTCCTCTCCCCAGACTTTATAGATGTGGTAGGAGCTGTGGGAGGAGTAAGGGCAGGCCAGACAGCAGCATGCAAATCAGGGCCCACCCCACCCTTCCTGGCTCCACACCCAGGAGCCCAGAACAGGCCTGGCTCCTGCTACCTGCAAAGACTGAGGTTCCTGGCCCCCTCACCTCCTCGGCCTCCCTGAGCAAAGCTAGCTGTGGGCAGTAGTCTCCCAGACTGTTCCAGTTCCTGCCCCTGACACTGGATGCTGTGGAGCCTCCATCTCTCCCACTGTTGTCTCTGCTGCTTCTCTCTCTCTCTCTCTCTCTCTCTCTCTCTCTCTCTCTCTCTTTCCATGTGGATATCACCTACCTATTCCTGGGTCACATTGCTTTTGATTTTCCACCCTGTTACTTTCCTTACCCAATTATCACTGGGAACTTTCTTCAGCCACAGCGCATGCTGGATGTCTCAATACCCACAGGTCAGGAGGCACAGAGGTTACATTCCTCTGCTCTGGGCTCAGTGCTGGCTTGACCCAGTGGTGCCTTGAATCAAGGAACCCCGGCAAGCAACGGTTCTTGCTGACAATGTGGAAGCAACTGTGGGGCAGTGGGAAGGAAGCAAGGGTCTCTGTGTGTGCCGGTATGGCCAGGTGAGGGCTATGAACACCCCAGACCATCCCAGGAAACAGGTAGGGACAGGATAGGATAGGGTCAACTGAGGAGCAGAAAGCTGTGGAGGCTTCTTATTGTTGTGCAGATAAGAGTTTTCCTCCATTCCTTCACTTCCTCCCTCTGCTTGGGCCTCAGACCCCACTCCCAATGAGTCCCCACCCCCATCCCTCACACAATGGTAGTGAGAACATTGTCATTCTCCCACCTTATAACTGTTGCTATGCATCTCTGCCTTGCTCCCCCACCTTTGAGAGTTCCTTGGCAGACCTCAGAACCCAGGACCCCAGGCAGTTGCTAATAATTGTCTCTATCATTCCCCCTGAGCCCCACCTATGCTTTCTTTGCATGCATTGGAGACAGTCTTTGCCCTGTGACTCTAGTTCTTGGAGGAAAGATAACTACCCACTATCTACTGGTTCTGTCTCCTCACCTGGGGGCAGTGTGGAGAGGCCCTGTAGAGTCCTTTTTCTGCTCCTGTCCTGGGGGCCCAGGCTATCCTCAAAGGGCTAGGCACAGACAGAGAGATGTGTCTCACTAGCATCTCTGCAAATCAGAGGGACAAGCTTCATGATGGGTTGACCTGGATCAGGCTGAGATTCTTAAAGCCCTGTAGACCTTGGGGCAGTTCGATATGGGCTCAAGACCCTGGGGCCCTCCTCTCTGCTTTTCCCTGAGCTAGCTGGCTCCTGAGCTGAATCAAGTGGGGGTAAAACAATGGCTACTTGCTGGGGTGAAAGGACAAGTGTCTTGAAGGCTTCCATGTGGTTCTTCTTTCTTATTATAAAATTTATTTACTTATTCAGTTTACACCCCAACTGCAGTCCCCTCCCTTCTCTCTTCCTAGTTCCACCCTCCCACCTTTTTCTTCCTCCCCCTCTTCACCTCAGAAAAGAAGAGCCTCCCCACCCCTTACAAAACTACCCTGGCACATCAAGTTATCTCAGGACTAAGTACATCCTCTTCCACTGAGGCCCAGGTAGGGTAAAGTGAACTGAAAGCAGGCAAGAGCCCATGTCAGAGACAGCCCCCGTTTCACTTGCTAAGGGACCCACCATGTGGTTCTTCTTGGACTGGTTTTTGGACTTGGCAGGACCTGGAATCTGAGAGGGGGCTTAAACAGGAGCCCCTGAAGAATGGCTCATCTCTGTCCCATTCCTTCCCGTTTCGCTAGATAACACCTGGTTCCCTGGGATTTGCTTAAGGCAGCTGGAAAGTCCTGAAATTCAGAGTCATTGCTTCCTTGGAAAGGCCCACCTAGCTCCAGGGCCTCCCGCAACACATTAGACACAGGGAGAACAGGTGGGTGGGGAGAAAGGAGGGTGGTTCTGAGCCTTGAGAACAGAACTTAGGTCTCCGTAACAGGGCGGTGATGGTGAAGTTGGTAAATGGGAGAAGATGATTCATTGGGAAAGGTACAGAAACTTCTGGAAAAACAGGTTTGGAGCTTCTCTTGGGTTCAGTGGCATTGTGGGGTCTGGGAATGGAGGGCAGAAAAGAAGTGAGGGTCTGGGCCTAAGAATGATAACAGTGTACAATTGGTTTCACATTCATACCCTGGGTTGGAAGAGGTACCTGAATGCTGGCTTGCCCCCAGGGACCTCAGGCTTCATGATGGTCATGGGTCTTGGATCTGGAGGCTATAGGTGAGGTCCACAGGCATGGTGGGAAGGGCCTTTGTCCTTGGTAGGATTACTACGAGGATGTGTCAGCTGCCTATTCCCCAGCTGGTTTCCAGCAGAAGTTTAAAATAGCCACATACTAAATTCTCCCTTAGGAGAGTTTATGATTCTGGTAACAGGAACTCTTGGGGCTACTCAGGCAGTCAGCAAGGGTCCTGTTGAAGGTGGCCAGGCTGGCACTTGGAGGAAGTTCAAGATGGAGTGGGTACAGGAGCCATCATGTTCCTCATGTCTGCCTTCTGCACCTCTTTCACGCACTGAAAGCATGGGCTATCCAGTCCTTGTTCGTAGCTCCTGGGCTGAAACCTGATTTCTATCTTTGAGATGCTGGAAAAAGAATATTGCCCAGGAAGTGGGAATAAAGGGACACAGGGCAAGGAACGCTGTCACCTGCCCCTCAGGTTTGCCCGTTCCCTGACCTCAACAGGCTGGCCAGGAAGTTGAGGGACAAGCCTGGACCTCTATCTGGAGCAGAGGTCTCCCTGCTCATGTTCCTCCCCCTTGCATTCATGCTGTGACACAGAGATCACGAGAGTGTGAGTGGCCCTGAGGGAGGGAATATGGGTGAGGTGAGGGAAGGCACAGCATAGCTCTACAGCCTTCTGAAAGTGCAGTCCTGTGTCCTTTTCTGGCCCGAAGAGGGCATTCATAGACAGGTCAGCTCCCTAGGTGGAAGGTATCCAAACACCTTGGCATATATAAGGAGTAGGCACATCTCAGCCCCCTACCTGCCCCCAAGTCACCCTATACTTTAGGGCACTTCATTCATTCATTTATTCATTTATTCATAATATTCATTTATTCATTATTCATTTATTCATAATATTCATTCACAATAAGGGCCTGCTATACTCTAGTCACTATTGGTATAAGGGACACCAAGGGAGGAGAGAGGCAGAGCTCGGTCCTGCGCCACAGACTAGCAGGAGAGAGGGACACAGATATCATTGCTGTGTATGGTACACTGCATGGATATGACAGCTAGAGAGGTGGGGAGGGGGCTTGAGGCACTATGGGAGGACTGACCTCTATAGATCTGTCCAAGCTGAGACCTGAGGGTAGGTGGCCATCAGCTGGTAAAGAGAAAACGCTAGACAAAGGCACCAAAGACACCGGAGTTTTGGTTTCTCATGCCACACCCTAGATCTAGTTCTTTTTCTGCAAGGCCACGTAAATGCTCTGTGAGTCAGGCAGCGGAGAAAGGGGTGTTTCCCTGGGGCCCTTAATCACACAGGTAGAGCCTCAAATGACACAGAGACAGGCAGAGCCTGGGTCAGCATCACTCAGGAAAAGGAGCCATTAGCTGGGCCTTGCTTCTGGACCGGGGCCTCTCCTTCTACAACCCTTTATCCTAGCACAAGAGTAACCTTTGCCAGGACAGCCAAGGCAACACAGAGAAACCTTGTCTTGAAAAACAAAACAAAGAGTGACTCTTTCACAAGGAGTCACAAATCTAGACATGGGTGTTGGGGTTCATCTGGAGCTACTGCTCCAGATCAAACGCTAACTGCTTCCCCCCCAAAAAAAAATCATGAGCAAATTCTCATGTATCCAAAATGATGTGATGTGGTGTAACCCTTGCCTCCCAAATTATCTCTGATTGGCTAAATAAAGTTGCATACAGCCTGGATTTGGGCAGAGAGAGGTAGGTGGGTTTAGGGGTCAGAGAGAGAGACCAGGAGGAAGGAGAAAGGAAGGAGGAAGAAGGATCAGGTCGCCGTGGTTAGAGTGTAATAGAAACATGTGGCCTGGAGGAGCTTGCTCTGAAGATTGGCATGATGGAGAGAAGCAGCCCAAATGGAAAACATGTGCAAGCCTTTATGGGGATTTGGGCTGGGACAAGATAGCTTAGAGGGTTACTAGCTACCCAACCCCAGTACATTTAGGCTTATTAAAATCTAACTGGTTTCCGGGTCTTTATTTATAAACTAGCAGGTTAAGAAATAACTGCTGCCTTAATAATAATATGAATCAACATTATATGTCAATAGCCTTTCAACACGTGGTTATTGCTCACCTGCTGTCTGGCATAGCTCTACCATACCTTAAATTATTCTCTGAAACGTTGGCCACCAACAGCAATTCTCTAGAGGCTCCGTCTTCCACCTTTCATCTATCAACCATTCATTCATGATCCATTCACATATCTATGTACTCATTCATTCAAGCAGCCATCTTTCCACCATCTGTTTATTATCTACCTATCACTATCCATAAATCAAGCATCTATCCCTGCCCGTCAGCCCACTTATTCATCTACCAACCTACCCATCATTCATGCATCCTCTATTCTCTACCCATTCGCTCACTTATCCAGCCCTCAGTCACTGCACCCATCCATTTATCAATCTATTATTCAACCATCCCCCGTTATCCACTTAGTAATCTACCTACCAACCAATCCATCCATGCCTGTATCCATTCTATTTACATCCACTTCACCTCATATCCTACCATCCATCCATCCATCCATCCCCTCACTCATCTCTCCACACATTCACTCATCTACCCATTCTTTGCCCACCTGTCCAACTACCCATCTCTCTATCCATTCATCCTCTACCCATCCACTTATCCTCCTATGGTTCTATGTATCCATTTATCCACCTTTCCACCCATTCACTCATCCA